TCATTCCATCCCTAACTTGGGCACATATTTTCTATTTTTTTTTTGTTATATAATTTTATAATATTCCTGTATTTACCTTTTAACGCATGCTTTAATACTAGAGCTACTAACGGGGGTGTACATTCGTAAGATCTTACAGAAATTATCGAAATGTTGTTATAGCGCATTTCCCAAGATTTCTAATGACGTTCATGGCAGTAACGTAAGGGAAGGAGTCTAATTTGTAAATTTGTAGATTTTCAAAATACTGTCGGTTTTACGATCTAATCAAATTCTACCGTTTATCATTGTTCGTGTACTTAAAGCTTTGCTTTCTTATGTGGTCGATGTGCTATTTGAATGAAAGTTTGAAGTCGAAATATATTCCGACGAATTTAACACAGTTATTATTAGATTGCGCAAATATCCCTTACTTTGAATGTAATCTGGAGACTGGGAAATCTGTTTATTATAAATTGTATCAATACTTTGTTCAATGGATGCCTTGGCTTTGCTTAATGAAGTCTAGTAATAATTTGATAAAACTACAGAGCGTCAGAGATGAAACTTCAAAGTTTTATCGGTCAAAATTGTTCACCCCCAACTGTTATCCACCCACGAAACCGGAAGTGGTGGCGTCGAGCTTGACCTCGTCGAACGAAAAAGGAAAAAACACACGTATCGCCAGGTCTGTGGTGAACATCCGCCATTAAAAATAAACCATCTCTCGTCGCCATTTTAGCATGCCACCGTCCCCCGGCGAGTGGGGCTCGATCTGTCAATCACCGGTACGAACTTTTTTCTCCTTCGACGTCTGTGAGGTAAAAGCGAACTCGTTAAAGACTCCAAATAAAATCGCCCCCACCCCTCCGATGGTCGCAGGAAGCGTCCGAGTCGCTTTCTTCGGTCGAGTTGCGGGGGGGTTCATCCCTCCTTGTCGAAATGCGACGCCGTCGACGCATTTTAATTGCCCCTGGAAAAAGTGGCTGGAATTTGTCGAGATTTCTTCGAGGTTGCATTTATTTAACACTTCGATTATTAATGTACATTTTCGGTGGTTATGCGTGTAATATCTTCGGTGGCTGAAGAAATGAAAACATGAACGTGGGATTGGGCATTTCGAACTGAAAGAATGTTCAATTGTCCTGGGCCACTTTCATAACTTTATATTGGTAATCTTGTATTACTATATAGGTACGTGTTGTTCATCAAGCTTCAATATCCCCTAAACTGTGCCCATTTCAAAACTTCATTAATTCCATAATCACTTCGTATGTTTACCGAATATTTAATAACTGTCCCAATATTTAGTCTCCAATATCTATTACCTCCTTTGTGATATTTTTATCATATTTACAATTTGCAAATCAATTACCTTTCTGACATTTCATTCGAGTAATCTCATACATACCCTTTAAATTTCTTCATTTCCAAAGATTTCGCCCCTTCGAGATACCTCCGCGTGAGGACTTCGTCTTAAAAACCGGGTATTACATTGCGCGACGGTGGCTTATTCCTCAATATGTTCCGATCTGAAAGATCCCGAATCAACGTGGAACAAGTATAGGGGAAGGGGGTGGCGGTAACGGTGACGGAAAGGACGGAGAGGCAGACAGAAAGACGGAGAAAGCGGCCGTTGAACGGGAGTGGCAGTTCTTGCGATTAGCGAGCGACTAGGGGAAGCTCCGGTTGCCGGAGTCTGAGGTTTTAATTAAGCATTCACTGCGGATGATATCGCATGCCTCTTTATACTTCATAGCAGCCAGATGTTGCTACGAGGTCCTTCCTCGCCTTAGGTCCTACGAACCGCACCAGCGCGACGGAAGGAACGTCGCTATTTCGTTTTAATTATGCATGTTTAATTTGCTTATATCCTCGCCCCTCCCTCAACCCCCCTGCGCTCTGATACGCGCCGCGAGTAGACGTTTCTGGTAGAGTCACTCGTTTCCTTGCAAACCCGGTTTACTCGTATGAAATTTGTCGTTGAGGAATCCTATCGAACGCCCTGATAGTTCACGATGATCTGTAGAAGGCATAGGTCATCTTGAATCTTGATGTAGAATAGAATAAAATGATAATGTGTACTTCGAATTTGAGAAAGTTATTGTTACTTTGTGTACTTGTTCCATTAATCAAGAATTGGGAGCTACATTTTCACCATAACTGAAACTGATCCATTATTGCTGGAATCATTACGTATCCAAGGATTAAGGATTCCGTCAGATTCCAAATAAATTTTATCATTCTAACATTTAAACGAAAATGGGAATGTATGAATATGAAATTGTTGCTAAGACAGTACACTTTATACTAATATTATTTAAAATTATGACACTGGCAAGGTGTAAAATGAAATTCACTTGAAATAGCACGAAAAATAATGATCACGCACCACATACAAATTAATTACCTGTTTCACTGTTCTCGAATCTTTTATTTCCGCTCCTTAAATCAATATACCCAACGAAAAATCTGTAAATATATTTCTTTACAGAGATATACAAATGGTACAATATAGGCAACTCTCCTTACTTACACAAGATCGTCGTTTGGACGTCACAAACACCGTTTACCACAGTTTTCTGGGCTTGCGATCCACAGACGAGTCGGACCCAGCCCCTGTCCCAGCCTTCATCACCCCGAGTCCGTCGTTTCGTTGCCCAGGAATAGACTCTCTTCGGGATCCTCTCGCGTAGAGGGGAGGTAGTGGTGACTGTTACAAAAGAGAGGGATCTCCCTGCGAGAACGCTCCTCTGGAACAAATCTACCCCGAGGACCGGAGGTATACAGGGCAGGTCTAGGGGGCCGACACTTGGCGCAAATTGCCCCAGTAAGTGTAGTGCATTAATCTTTGGTTTGGTTTGCTCTCTCGGCCACCGCGTGTGTTGCGGTGGCCGCGTTTCTCGTAAACCCTCGACACGCCGCACATCCCGAAAACCTTTTCGGGGTATTCAGCTACCCCCGGCGGACGCCACCGCCACCGCCGCGTTTGTTTCCCGGGCGCAACGTGGAATCTGATGGGACATCCATGGTCTCTTCGGTATTTCAACTGTATTCGATTCTCCCTGGATAATTATTATTTATCTGACAATATTTATTTACCTTCCCTTTCGTTGGAAATGGTTCGTATGAAATTTTGCATTTGGACCTTGAGATGAATTCTGATTTCCTAGGGTACACTTATAATTAGACTGCAGATTTTATGCATTTATAGCCTGTACCAGTTTTCGATTTTATTCTGAATGCAATAAGATACTCGAGAGGGAAAATAAATTTCTGCATTTGTTCCTGTCTTTGAAAATTACTTTAGAAAATGTTATTTTGCATAAAAATCTGCAGTCTACTTTTAATACTTAGAAGCATTTAAGTGAACATTTATTTGTAAAGTAGGTACATTAGGGATAACAGAATACAATAGTACTCTAGAGTATACGTCGAAAGATGCCTGGCGACACCCAAGAAAAGACGATCGAGAAGAGGAACTCTTGATCGTCATTCGTGTGACATTGTAGACGATTGTACCGAATGTCTAAATTAACTGAATATTTGTAGTTTGTTAATTATCACATCGACACCACTGAGTTGTTTCCAATATTAAGCACCTTTAGACGATGTAACACTTGGTCTGCTATAGAGTCTAAACAATAGAGCCTAGTCTAGAGGCAGACAAGGCTATAGAGCCTAGACTAAAGGAACACTAGACTCTAGAGTACTATTGTATTCTGTTATCCCTAATGTACCTACTTCACAAATAAATGATAACTTAAATGCTTCTAAGTATTACAAGTAGACTGCAGATTTTTATGCAAAATAACATTTTCTAAAGTAATTTATAAAGACAGGAGCAAATGTAGAAAATTTTCCCTAAAGGAACACTAGACTCTAGAATATACCAATAAAAAATAAAAACCAAGCCTCTCAAAATCGTTTTCTCGTTAGAACATCTGAACCAGTGTAGTATAATCTACACTTTCAACAAACTATAGCTCCAAATTTGAATTTTCGTGTCCAAGTCCGAGACCAGTGGTGTCGTACTGTCACGAAAGATCCAGAAGCAAAGGGCTCCCGTGGAATCAGAGTGTCGGCCCCCAGCCCTCGAGACCACCCCTCTTCAAGTTCCACGCCGGTTCTCCAGTGGTCACCGAATCCCTCGAACCCTTTTGTCCTTAACCGGTCACCTTAACCGTAACGCCCGTAGCCAGCACGGAAGAGGCCAGGAGGAGACTCGGCGGTGGTCTTGCGTAATGCGAATACCGTGTCGCATTCCAGGAACTCAGGGTCCCGTGGAAACCCTTCTTTATTCGATTAAATAAATTGGTAGCGATTACGTCGACGAGCCTCCGGCTAATGGAACTCGATAGCCGGGTGATGAGCCAGGGGGTAATTAATGATGGCCGATCCGGGGCCAGTTTCCTGTTTATTCCCAAGGATTGTCTCGTACCTTTTTTTTATTCTTCTTCCAAACATGATTACAACGAAGCTCGTCGTTAGAACAAGAAAACAGTGTTCAGAAGGTATGTAATTCGAAGTTTCTCCGAAGATCAGGGATCTCGAATAGGAACCTCGAGATTGTTAATAAATGAATTTTCTTCTTCGATTGGTAAATCACGATTGTCTATGGAAATTCTATAGAGGGTGATGGAAAATGATCTCTGCAGAGGGAATTACGAAGTATCGCGATAGTAAAATAATAGGACGAGATAAACAATATTGGTGCTATACAGTTTGTAAATTTCTTTCGCTGGAATGTTCTTATCAGAACTCACACTTCTGTGTTTACATTGATACTGAGCAAGGTAACGCATGTTTCATGTACAGTTCGTTAGCTTGCAACGAACTTGTGTCCTCGAAAATTATAAACTCGACATGTCCCAGGTTCGTAGGATTTAAAAATAATGGGTAACATTTACTGCACAATGTAACTCGAATTTGTAAAATATAATTGGATATATTTCAGTAGAATATTTATATTTTTAATGATATTATTGTCGTTAGTATCACGTTTTATAATTATTCCTTGTTTATACTTAATACTGCGTTTTCGTAGAAGGATCAAGAATTTTGTAATAATCCAGTCTTAATATAAAATGTGCAGTACTTCCACGTTGACGTCAATGACGTAAACTTTCAAGCCTCTTCAAATCATTTTCCTGAACATACAGTCTAAAAAGCAAGAAGCAAAAAGGTACAAATAAATCGACTAAATCAAAATACTAAAATCATTATACCACTACGTGATACGAAATGTCTATGTTATTATACCGGGCAGAGCACTCTCATCAAGGGGAAATCACAGTTTACTTCACGAGCACACTGAAATAGGAAATAGAACAAGTTATGCAAACATTCTAACAAATTCGAAAAATCTGACAGTCTGACAATCTGTTACTTACTGCTTCAGCGGGTGTTATAATCCATCCTGACATGCAAATGACAGTAATAAGAAGGAAGAAGAACTCAGCTACTCGAGACATGTCTACTTCGATTCTCTTTGTGGTCTGTTTGGTTTTAAGTTTTGTCTACAGTGTCCACTTCAGCTCTTAAATACAACTGCTGTACAAATTTAGTCTTCGTATCTGAAAACGTGAGTACTTAAAAACTTAATGTGCATTCGATATGACTATCGAAAGTATTAAACCTTTCTTTGAGATGTTATTTTTATGTTAATAAGAAACTTAAAACAAAGTACGATAAAATTATTTTCACTATTTTACTATATTATTTATAAGTAGTTCAGGAAATACTAACAAGGTGCATTTGATTACATATTGCATTCACTGAGGGAAAAATCCCTAAAACTAGCTTAACTGTTTCGACCGTCAAAGTAGAATGACCCCTTAAGTTCCTCAGGGTGAAATTGGTATTTGTAACCAACAGTTGAGGTTTTTCAAGAGCAGAGTCCCGATGGTTAGGTCATTCAGGATGGAGTCAGAGGGCAAGTGATTAAAGAATTCATGATATCGCGGTTGGCATGATGCGGTTCACGATCTCCATGAATCGCAACGTCCCGAGTGAATTCGAAGCACCGCTGCAAGCGAGTATCGCAAAGTGCGGTCAGGGTTAGATATTAGGCGAAAATCGCTCCACGGTCTATCCACGTTGCTGTTCCCCAGATTGCAATATAATGACGTCGTAAGTCGACAAATAATTGCGGAAATTTGTATATCCAGCCTAGGCGTGACCCGCAGTGGCCTCGATAACACGTTCCTCGAATCCAATGGAACCCTCATGTTATACCTACCACGTCTGAAGCTTGATCCTTCCATGCGAATGGAAAATTTGTGTACTTCTCTCGTAATTACATTACATTCTATTTATCGAACTAAAATTTCACCCCATTCATTTATCGAATTTTAAGTAACTAGGAATTTCAGTTTCTTGAACTACTGTCGAGCGTCGTTCTTTGGTAAGCTTCGTAACGTAATGTATGATTTTCTGTTATTAATGATTGTTATATGTGGTATTTTACTTTTGGACGATAACCTACTCTCACAACGTTAGTGCAGGTCTGAGTTTAAGTTAGTAATCTAACCCAGCCCATATGAAATCTGAATTTAATATTAGGTCCAAAATCACACTGAAATATGAACTTCATAGATCTAACTTTTATGTCTATGATTATTATTATTGAGCGTTGGGTGTTTATACGAATATAGACGGTCAGACTAATTTACAATACAAAGACTGGAATTTACTTCTTAATAGTTTTATCAGATATCCCAAATACAGTAAAAAATCTGCAGCCCAGTTTAGGCACATCTTATTAAGCTATACACCTCTTCACGTTTGCAATTCTTTATGTACAATAATATGGTGCTAACAAATTGCCCAAAATATAATTTGTCCCTAACAAAAAAATTTCGGATCGAAACTTCGAGGGGTGGTTTCACCCCTTGAAGTCGCGTCTCAGCCGATAAAAAAAATACGTATCCTTTATTTTTTACTACTTAACAGAAATACGAAGTTTCATAAAAATCGAAGGGGGACACTTTCAAAAACTTAATATTAGCAACATCATAGCAATCATCCTCCAAAGCTTCTGATCGCTAGAATTTTCTAATAAAAAATGGTCCAAAGACACCCCTTAAGTTGACCACATCACTTTAGCCCATCGTGATTAATAGAACACCGGGGTAGTAATGACGACACCTTCGATCGCATGATTTTATTTTGTAAACGTTGGATAAATGGACCTGTGATCCTGTCCGACAACGAGGTCGGGGATGAAGCGCAAACCGGGCGACGTTGGCGCGCATCCACCGCAGGGGTGCGATGTATCGGGGCCGCCCTAGATGCCGAGTCACGAACGTGCAAGTCACCGACCCCCAATGAAGGGGGATGATGAGATGACTAAAGTTAGAACACTGTCGGTCTAGTGTACGCGGATAACTTGATACACCTAACGTATACGGCCCATGATTGCGCGTATATCTGCCCATCGATCCGGGGAAAGCGTTGCTGTTCATTGCCTCGGGGGTGTCCGGCCCGTGATGTTTCAGGGAAAGAATCTTCGGCCTCTTTCATTGTCCGTTATGTATTTTTCATGTGTGACGAAGACTTGGTCATCAACTGCAGGTATTTAAGTACGTAGAGCAAAGTAGCCGAATATGAGACCCATTTTTTTATGCACGCATAATTCTCGATTAAAAATACTTTTATTGGAATACGATACACGTTTTAAATGTAAGTGTACATTTTTACGATATATCAGAAATTATGAGAAAACAGATAAAGTTCCATCGTAATAAAATAAAAATTAAAAGTATGCAGAAATATGATTCCAAAACTGGTCGCCTATTATGAGACCTAGGTTTCATCTTGTCAAAAGTTATTTTTACTGTCAAATTAATTGCGTCTGTACCTGAACATGTTGTTATGTTATTATATTGAATATGTATTATTATTATTCGTTGTTTTCACATTATACAGCGTTTTTGTAAAAAGATCAAATATTCTGCAATAATCCAGTGGTAATATAGAATTTGCAGGGCCTACTTGCACGCTCTTCAAATCATTTTCCTGCACATTGTTTCTAAAAAGCAAGAAGCAAAAAAATTACAGATAAACTAACATAATGAAAATACTAAAGTCATTATACTACGACGTGGTACTAAATGGCTATGTTACTATACCGAGCAGAAGAGTTTCATTAAGGAGTCACGACAGATTCCTTTTCTAAGACACTGAAATAAGAAAGAGAATAAGTTATGCAAACATTTTAGTGACGAATTCGAAATATCTGACAATACCATCGAATCCGTTACTCACCCCTGTAGTCGATGCCATAATCAACGCTGGCATACAAATAGCAGCAATAGCAAGGAGGAAGAGCCCGACAACTTGAGACATGTTGTTTACTTTGACTTCCTTTTGGATCCGTTTGATTTTAAGTTTTGTCTACGATGTCCGCCTCAGCTCTTTATATGCAACTGCTGTTAAAAATTTATATCTACTTCCTACCGAAAACGTGAGTACCTAAAAACATAACGCGTACTCGATATAACTATGGATAATACAAAAACTATCTTTTCGTGACTGATATAAATTTACGAGGGTAACGTTTTATTTTCCTTACTGACACGTCGTAAAATATTTAAACGTTCTAAAATATTGCAAATATTTTCCAACAATACATACCAAGATAAATCGACCGAAGTACGACAGAACCTTAAGGGTTCGTTCCTTCGGAATTAGGTCAAAGGAAAGGTCTGTCGGTGAGACAAGCTCGGACTCAAGGTGTACAGAAGTTTCGGGGCGTCCCGGTCGATCGTTTCTGGCACAAATTACTTCTTTAACGAAAGGTTACCTATTCCTCACGGTGGATCGAGCTCAAGAGGAAAGATGGAACGGTCCCAGGGGTGGTGGGTGGAAGAACGCCTCGAGTAGAGGGTGTCTGCTCTGGCCGCAGAGCGTCGGGACGCCCTTATACCGTCTCCTAACGGAGAGACGTCCACGAAGCGGACCAAGTGACAAATAGATGTACGCCGGCGATCGCACGATTTACTCCTCGCGTAGGGATAAAAGCTTCCTGACAAAATCCTGCTGTGACAGCGGATCTTGGCATTCTGACCGTGTTGCTTCTCCCGCGACTAATCGTCTCGCCGAAAAAACAAACCTGCGACTCGATCCCCGCATACCAACTAAAAACCGTCCTTCGTCTCTGTGACCGGACTTCTTCTTGTAGTTCAAGTTTTTAGACGGAATTCCGCTGATTTCGGCGGCATAGAAACTTTGAATACAGTCGATTTTGTATTTATATGATTGTTTTTTATTCTGATTTATGATTTCATTCTAAAAAATTCTCTTGAACCTTTGGAGGACGGGCTGGATTTTTCATGACTTTTTATATTTTTGAATTAGAACTTTTATACATTTTTCATAATATATTTCTTTCTTTTACATGGTTATTTTTTGGAAATGGACCTATCCCGTAAAAAGTAGATTCTCATAAAGTTTCGTCTACAGTGTCCACTTCTGCTTTTTATACACAACTGCTGTTCAAATTTATAACTTTCGTATCTGAAAACGTGAGTACTTAAAAAACGTAACGTGTATTTCATATTGACTATCGATGATACCAAACAACTTTTGTTATTGATATGCATTTACGAGGTACACAGTTAAAAAATCGCAATAATAATTCCATAATAAAAAGATAGGACAGAAAAACACAGTAATGTTGTCTGACTGGCGCAACAAACAATGTCGATCATATTTCATTTACTAGACTGCCGAGTTTTATGCAAAATAACATTTTCTAAAGTAATGTATAAAGACAGGCGAAAATGTAGAAATTTATTTTTTCTTTCGAATATCTTATTGGGTTCAGACTAAAATGGAAAACTCATTAAATTCGATGAAAGTTTCGCCTTTATTTTATTTCACAGATTATTAAGTATATTCTAATAATGGCGATGGCATGTAATATAACCTAATACTAAAGAGAAAATTGATATTAAAAATACAAGTATACCCTAACACTCATAATTATGTGGACACATTGCCTGTGTGATAATTTCATTCCCAAACAATATTCATTCCAAACTTTTAATAATTTCATAATACCTCGTAATATTTACTGCATATTCGATAGATGTACTCATACTTATGAACGGAAGTGTACAATTCAATAAGAGATTTTTCCAGTGAAATTTTATCGATCGTAGGCTGAAGTAATCATTCCAAGTCTGTATAATTCACGTCCAAGATTGTTTAAAGAGCCACGTTCCAAGCGTTGAACAGGAACGGGGAACGATTAACAGGAACGTTTTCCATTTTCTAAATAAGTCTCCCTGGGCGGATTCCTTCGCGGCGATAAGTTTGACGTTCTCTCTCTCTCTCTCTCTCTCTCTCTTTCGGGCCGACTACGGCCACGAAGGACCGGGCGTCTCCTTCCGGCACTCCTATCGGTTATATCACGGCCGCTCACCCTTCCCCGAAACCCACTCTCATTATTCCGAGGAAATTAAATATGTCGTCTGATTCTTAAAGTTAATTGAACTTCGGCCGCTGTCTCGGACGCACGCTGGATCTCCAATTCATTACGATAATGCGCTTGGGATCGGCTGGCGAACGGTTTCGATAAGTTCGGATCAAGTTGATCTTAGCAGTTCGGTGTGTTTTAATATTTTGTGCAGTGCTCTGTGTGATAAAGTGGTGTGGTTAATTTGTATTAACAAAGTGAAAGGGTGGTGAAGATACGGGAGGACATCGAAGTGTAAGTAACTTATTTTGATTGATAAGTATTTATTTTCGTTAGTTCGGGCTTTGGAAGTTCAGTTATTTGTTTATATGATAGGAGGATTGTTAAGAAATAAGAATATTGTGAATTAGTAATTCAACAAGAGAACGGTTTTTTAAATAATAATGTCACAACACCTCTTCAACCATGAATGTCTGAAGAGGTCTGGAATCAAGCTTGATCTACATTTTCATGGATTCCATTAGCTAATTGATCAATCGACGAATTCATTACCTGATATTCTGAAAGGAAGTATGTGTTCATATCTTCAGTTTGTTCCCAGAAACTGTCACTAATGCAGTACTTTATTGAAATACCAATTACTTCAATGTCGCATCAACTGCTTGAATTAGTTATCAGTGTCTGCCACTTGTAGACTATTTATTAATTAAGTTATTTTGTCAATTAGTTTCGTTTCTTCGAGAAATTTTACTCTCAAATTCATTACTTGGTAGATCTAAATCGAAAATGTAAGATTCATCTCAATTCGCTAATCAGATATATAATTCCATGCTTCTTGGATCCTCCGTTCACCAATTTCAAAATGGCTGAACTGAAGTGCGTTGAAGAACGACCTTTCCTATACAACCATCAAATATACAATTTCAAAACAAAATCTCCAGGATACTTAATATTTTTAAGATGCAACAACTCAATATGATTCCATTGGCAATACAAAATTCGATCAGTTTCGAAATCTTAATTCGTTAATCCCCATCCGGAGAACACAGATCTCCGATCCTGATTCACGTTCGGATCACTGGAAACGATTTACCGAACCGCTGATTTATGGCATCGAAACCGGAGTACCGGCTCGCAATAAACTGGAGCTGCGTCTAAATCCCTATTTTACTTACCGGTCGCGCGACGGTGAGTCGAGCGTCGAGGAGGTTGGGGAGGGGGAGAGAGTCAGCCGTGTACTAAATTTAAAAGTAAAACCTCCGCCTTTGTTGCCGAATCCCCGCGCTGAAAGAGAAGGTTGCTCTGCTCCTTCGAGCCATTCAACAGATTTAAATGGGCCCAGGGCTCCGCGACCGCTTCTTTTGGTTGTTTTAAAATACAGAGCCTGCGGGTTCAACGATACCGCGGCCTGGATTTATTTCGTTCGACGCTTCCTTCTGCACGGTTTTCAACTCCATTTTCATTTTTTTTTTTGTCTTACAACTTCATTTGATTTTCTCGCTATTGTTTCTCGTAGCAAAAATATTCTGATGTTATTAGTTTTTTCGTCAGTGGACGCTTAAAGGTCATATAAAGGTCAACTTTGTTTTTTTTAAACATAATGAGGTATTTTTTAATACATCAATCGATGCAGCTGGACATTTATGTATGTCGAAAAGTTAGTAGTTCAGGAGATATTTCAATTTAAATAATTCTAAAACACCATTACTGTCGTACTAAGACGTCAGCGTTTATTTACGAGAATGGTAATAAAGTACGACAGTAATGATATTTTAGAATTATATAAAATTGAACTATTTCCTGAACTACTAAAGTTTCGACATATATAGGTTAGTACTTTTTTATAAAGAAAAAAATACCTTATTCTATTTAAAAAAAAAACAAAGTTGACCTTTATATGACGTTTACACATCTACTCACGAAAAAACTAATAACATCAGAATATGCTACATTCGATACCAGTCCAGCCTCCGGTGAAACATTTTCTGCTACGAGTAACAATAGCGAGAAAATCAAGATGTCAAGATGTATAGATAGTACCTACCTTCACCTTAAATATGCTTGCAAAAGCTATAAATTTAAAAAATTCTATCACGATATTTCCGCAACATTCAGCGACCAGTTCATCTTCCTTCGACTCCGAACGAATCCTCCCCCTGCAATGTCGACAAGCATGGCTCCGTTATTCTTTCGAATTAATCCCTCGTTTATGATTATAAATCTACATCCGGCCGCGAGGGATCGCGGGGCAGGGTCACCGGGGTCCGAGGTATTAGTCAAAATTAGCGGGGGCCAGCGAAAGTCGGAAATGCCAATTTGGCCGGTGAAGTGAGGATTTAATTATGATTCTTTTATGATTCGATTTAACCGATCCCCGGGGCCGAGCCAACCACCGGAGGGGCCCCCGCGGAATATCGCACAATGTACGCCCGGGGAATTAACGGACTATTAGCGCCGGAACAATGGAAGCCTTTTTCTTGCTTCGTCGGCCCGTCTTTCGGCGACAATGGGATCGATGTTACGCCGGATCGTTGGAAATCTCGCGGTGTTCCCCGTTTGATTGTTACGAAACAGACTTCGATTCGCCTGACTTTGGAGCTTGAGTTGGGTTTAGACATTTTTTCTTTTTGCATTTGTTTACTGGTACGTGGATCATCCGTCTTTAGATCTAACTTTTGAGGAAGTTGAATTTTGAGACGAGGTAGGGGAGAGTTGCCTATTTTGGATCATTTTTTTATTTTTCTCTCTTACACATGCAAGAGAGAGGGTTTTTTTCTTCTCTCTACAGCATGCGTGTAATACTGTGAAACCCCAGTATATATTTGAAAGAATGGCTAAAATTATCTATTGTATCCCAGTTGATCTCGATTTGCCTTTGTTCCATTTTTTCGTAAGTCTTCAGTGAACGTCAGATTTCTCCTATTACGATTTCTCCTGTTGCATTTTAATTTTCGTTTCGTCGTCTTC